ATGCAGGCTTTTATTCAACTGTAATTTTAAGAAACCAACAATTCAATTGAAAATCATGACTCAGGTCACTGCTTTAAGAAAAGAAAAAGTAGAATGTGTCAGGATTAGACTGTTTATAGTATACTATTATGCTGACTAAATTGGTTATCTTCCTTGGATCACCATAACTTTGTATTAAGGCATTTAAATGTCAATCCATTTTTACAGTACATTTTCTTATCTTATATTTCCTTTCATTGTTTTTAAGGAAGTTGATCTGAAACCCCTAAACAATGACTTATTTGTAAGCCCTAACATAATTCATCTACACAAGTGTTCATATTGAGAAAAACTTCCTCAACAAGATAAAGCAAAGCCTATCTGATAAATTCTAGATTAAACAGATACTTGACCTTAAAATAACCTCTATTGATCATGGGACAACCAATATATTTCACCCAGGACATAAGTGTTAATTTCCTCAAGTACTGGACAGTATTGGACATTCCTTTATAAATATTTACATACTATGGGAACGATCTATAGGTCAGCACACTGATTGTCCAATAAAACGAAATTCTAGCCAGTTTTATCACATTCTAGGAAATAAAATGTGTTTATGATGGAATTAAATTTCTTCTGTTTGAAGTTTTAAAAACTTCTAAATTATTAGATAAAATTCTTTTTTCAGTTGACTGATAGAATTATACCTCTGTTGGATTTATCAGAAGAAAGGGCATACTGCTGACTGAACAAAGACAAAGGTTCTAACAAACTGTTGACTGGTATTCTGAATGTGTATTCTTCTTAGAGTACAACTTGCTGTTTAGATAAACCAACACTGAATCTCTATTCTCTATGGATAATGTCATGTTAATTTACATATATAGACAAGCAACAGTAAGCAAAATTTAAAGCCATAAAAATATATGAAACAAGGCTGGAAGCAACATTAAAAACAGAAGCTCTTTCCAAAATACAATATCCATTTACTATAATTAAGCTTAGTGCAGACTTTTTTTCATCCAGAAACTTCTGTGACCTATTTTTTGGGGAAAAAAATTAGTTTCAGGTCTAAAATAAAGACGTTGTTTATACGACATTTATAACATCCTTGTTACTTAACTTTTAATAGTTATAAGGAACACATTCAAAAAGGAAGTCAAAACTACAACTTAAACTGGCTTACTGACAAAAAACCAAGTGATCATTTCCTTCCAGGTGATATTGTAAATGGAGAAATCAGGGAAGAATCTAATTCAAATTAAGAACATAAATTATATCTAGCATCAAATGTCTCCCTCAAAAAGCTTGAAGCTTCATATTGCAATGCATACACAATCCTGAGTTGGCTGGCTTTGAAGCAAAGGCAGGGATAATGATCTTCCTAGGGATGTTCTCTCCACAAGCAATATCATAACCAAGTATAGAGGCTTGTTAGAGCAGTCTTGTTTATAAGTTAAGAAAAAAACAAGGCTTATACTTAACAGTAATTATAGCCTCTGTTCCAATTCTAAAATAGAAAAGGCTAACTTAGTGTACATTTTCTTTAAGAACCTTTATTTTACTGAATATATTTATTTTTTGGGAGGAGTTTTGTACCATTTTCTTGTTTTAAAGGCACATTTGTTCACAGAAGTCCAGTTTTCTCTCATCAGTTTAAAATTTCTGTCAGTCTTGAGACTAGTTTATGTAGGTCCACAATGACTATCCCCATTGAAATATATATAGGTACAAAATGACTCTGGGAATATATACAAGTATTCAATCACTTTCCCTAGGAATATACACAGATCTATAGAAGCTGTCTCTGGGAATATATACAAGTCTTCAATCACTTTCCCTAGGATATATGTACAGGTCTCTGGGAATTAATTCAGGTCTACAATGAGTCAATGATAACCCCTTCATATAATATATTCGGGCCAGAATGCAATGACCAATCCTAAGAATTTATACAGGTCCCAAATTGACTGTGCCTGGGAAAGTATACAGGTCTTCAATGACTATCAATTTATGGCTGTCCCTGGATTATATGGTCACAATTACCACACCTGGGAATATATAGAAGTCCACAGTGATCATCAGGTCTATGGCTGTATAATCCCTGAGAATATATACTCAATAATGAACAACCATTTACAAAAAAAAAACAAAAACAAAAACTTCAGAAAACAAAAATGAATTGTAGTTTCATATATTTCCCCATCATATTTACAATACTAATGCCTAAAGCCAGACCACAAAGATAATATCACCATGAATTTACTGCATGACTGAAGAAATGATCATCTTAACACAAAACTAAATAAATATTGTTTTAGTATTTCTGATGTCCCTTCTCTACATAGATCTCCAGCCTAAACTGAATAAATAAAAGGTAAACATTTGTGTTGATTTTTCATACTAATTTGATTAAATCAAACATGTACTGTCTGGTAATGTGTAAACAGGAGAAATTGGCTGGAAAATTGTAAACAAATTTAAGGTTTAATTAATGCACAAGAATCTTTATACTCAATATAGGTCATTTGTATAAGTTAATTGATGTATGGACTGTCTAGCTGGTTTTATAAGGTCATGTCTGCCAAAGGTTCTCCAATTACAATTTACAAATTACTTTGATGATGACACTAAAATTCCTATATACCTAGCTTGATTAATGAAAAACTAGATATTCCACAAAGGATGGATGAGGGTTTGATATCCAGAGGATATTCAGGAAAGGAAGGTGTAAATGATAATGCAGTATGGACACTAATCCAGTTTGTATAAGACAAAGCACTCAGTAGGATTTTTAACATTCTATCTAACAAGGTTATAGTTCAAAGGATGGCATATCATAATATTTGATCACATTTCATCAGTCTTTGCACTCTCTTAAATGATAATGTGCTAGGCAGAAAAGCAGCAAAATGATTCTAAAGTCTCTAGTCTGACTGGCTGCAGGATTGAACTCATGACCTCTGACACTCATGACAGTGTGCTTTTACAAAAAGGATGAAGGACTTTTAATCCAGCAATTACCTATAGTTACTTGCTCCATATACTTATGTACATGTATAATCAAAGAGATAAAAAAAAAAAACAAAAAACATTTGGAGCAAAATCATCTTAATGACAAGATTTCTAAAAGCAAAAAAATTTAAAATGCATGGATTTCAAAATTAATAACTAAAACCCAAGGTTCCGAAATGTCAACCATTGATTTAAGAGCAACAAACTGTCATTAATAATCATGCTACTTAAAATAGTCTTATACTTATAACTCTGATAAGCATTTGTCTACCAAGGTGGTGATACAATTGATAGTTCAGTGTAGCAAACATCTCCTTATTTTTATATATATCTTACTAGAGTTCTGTCATTGTCAGGAAGACTTATACTACAGGACTATAAAGTTACTGCATTAGCCACTTCTGACATCAATAAACTTTCATTTTGATGTCTTCTTTCGCCTTAAACTTGATTTTTGTGACTCTTTGGAATGGTCATACAAAAAAAAAACATGATTTAACAAGACAGAATGGAAATTTTGACCAGTCAAAAATCTAAGAAGTTACAGACAAAATCTCAACAAGCCCCTCATATATGCAAAAAAAAAACACTTTATAACAGTTATACATCCAGACAAAAACTCATGAGATAGATTGCAAAGGAGTGACAATATATTAACTGGGGAAAATAAAAAGCTGTCAATAGTCTATAGTCAGTCACTGTCTCATCTATTTTAGGTAGGCCACATAAAAAAATGTCATTTCCAATTAAATCCTAAGGACAAATTTATCTGGAAAATGAATTAATTTATTACCAATAAGCAATAACCATCAGAAATACAGAATGGTTTTTGTTCATTACCGATCACTTATAAAATATAACTAATATAATTTAGTAATCAAATGAATGGTAAAACAGTACAAAACTTTTTTGACTAATGCTATTTTATGACCTCTTTACTCGTTCCCAGTCCTGCAATGATTATTCAAGTTGTCTCTTTATTTGTTCTGAATTAAGTTTACAGAAGTGATGTCTCAAGCAATGTACAATAAAGACTTGTTTAAAATATTTAGTACTTTATCAGAAAACCTAATTTGTGACCAATGAAAGAAATAACTTAATTAATTAAGACTTAGAAAAATGATATATTTATTTATGTTGGGCACTTTTTTACTTGCTATCAAAATAATGGACTTAAAATATCTACTGCTGTCCAGAAATACTGGGTAGATTGACAGCACAGAACTTCTTATAAATTGTGATAGTCTGTAAAACAGCCTTTAGAAATTATAAAAATCCAATTAATTGTGACAACAAATACCTTTGCTTGAAAAATCTCTATATCACGACTTTGATTTACCAGTTTCACTCAATTACCGAATTTCCGTTTTCTTTAAAAAGACTAACATATAAAATAATGAGTAACTTTAAGGGATTTGTTTACCTTTCTTGTATTTTTTTCAAGTGAATTTATGTCTGGTACTGACTCATTCTACCTGTCTACCTGTCACTGTAACTACCACAGATGTACAAACATACAATCAACCAAGTCATGTTTCAATGGTCACGATTCAATCTAAATTGTCTTTGTTTCTAATATGACATGATAATACTTTACAACAAAAGAGATTTATTCTTATAAAAAGTATCTTAAAATTTTGTAATAAAATCAATTTTAAGAAACTATCAATATAAATTTGGTACTGTAAATTCAGAAATTATTGCGAGGTACTTATTACTGCAAATAATGTGCAATAATTTCTGAATTTACCGTATTATATTCTAAAGATGGTGCTGTTATTGTAGTCCAAACATTTCCCCCCTTCCTATTTTTAAAATTATTGAAGTAACCAACTATTATGTAACAGAAACAAAATTAGGGGTAAATTCCATTCAAGTCTTTTATTAAATCCTGGCTAATTCAATTGATTTTTAAGGACCGAGATAGAAATCAAGCCAGTCCACAGTCTCCACATTTTTGATTTGAGTATTTGGAACAACAGGTAAATGAAACAAATTCCTACCTTTATTGAGTCAAAGCAGGCTGTGACTCTGCCATTTTGAACCTCAACATGTGGTGGTGGGTGAGCAAACTTGCATTCTGTGTCTGGTCGTGTACATTTGTTCCGCTGGAACTCACGGCAAACTTCTAACGTCAACCATCGTGAGTCTTTTACATTATTTGGAAGTATGGTGCCCATTTGATTTACACCAGCTAAGTTCACCACTGCATTGTTCACCATGGCCATAACAATTTAATATGACTTAACGTTTATGTAAAAAGTAACTTTCTTTGTAGAAAATAACTCTGAAAGACCTAGGGTAAACTTTCACAAACAAATATCATAAAAACTTTTCAACACTTAATAATAAAAAAACTTTGTAAAATTGATCACAAATAAATCCACGTGTTTTACACAATCACAGATTACATGGGTTTCTTAATCAATATTTGTATTATCCTTTATGGTTTCTATGGTGATGACTGTTGTATGTTGCTATGGTAATGACTGTACTTTATGATATGATGTCGTTCTTCCTCCAAAAACTACTTGCTTTTCTGAAAGAAAAAATAACAGTGTCTTAACTTTAACCTAAAAATCATTTAATCGAGACAGCTCGGCAAAACAAGGAAATAAAGCATTCACTCCTAAATATTTCAAACAGACAAACTTTCTGCATATTCAAATACTGTCAGTTGGAATATAACCATTTTCAAATGGCCAATTTATCCTTTTTTTCCAGGTGCGTCATATAGTTTTTCCTTTAAATCACAGCTATGTACGTCCTCCCAAGATATTCTGATCTTGATCAGTGACTATAACCTTCAATTGTGTAAAAAAAATAGTTTAATCTAGGAAAATCCCAATTCAGAAGATATCTGCTACTTTAATTACAAGGAAAGAAATAACATTAATTTCATAAAAAAATGTCATTGTACACCAGGAAGTAACAGTTATTTTGGCAGATTTTTTAGGTTAATCACAACAGTACCATTTTTACATAAAGTGTACTGCAAATGACTATCAATGTTATGTTAATTTATCCTCTGAAATTCAAGAACATTTACTTATTGATATATTTTCACTGCATCCGGTTAAAAAATTATTCTGAATAAGTTTTCACATCCTGTCCACGTGTCCCATCTCAAAATTCATAATTTCAAAATTCCCTTACTACTCTTTAACATTTATACCTCTCCAAATTAAATATTTCTTCTCAAATTATAAGAACTCAAATTAATTTAAACATCTTGAGAGACCTGAATACAATTTTTATTTTTTTTAATAAATAATTTCCCGAAAGAATTTCAACATGCACTGCACTTAACATCAATAGAAGTATATATATATATACATACCAGCAAACAAAGACAAGACAAAATAAGTGTATTCCTTTTTAACAAAATAACCAGATGACTGTAGACTACCTCTAGCAAGAAGAAGGAAGGAAATAACAGAAACAGAAAATAAAACTTCTTTTTGGCAAAGGATGCCATATGTAAAACATTCTAGCAATGTCAGAAAGAGTGATATTATCTAAACTTTCCTGTTTGGCTGGAAACAATGGATAGTTTATGTCAACTTTCATTAGTGAGTAAGGTTGAGCAACATCAGAACAAGTATTATGGCCTGTCAGCAGCCTAATACATCATATCTCATGTCACTCTTATAACCTCCCTTTAAAAAATCTTCACTGTTGGAAATAAAAATTGTTTACCAAATATTGTAAATAATTAATAATATTTCATTTGGTTTTTTTTTTTATTGTTTTTTTTTTCTTCATTATAATAATCAAGACATAGTGACTAAATTTCATTTTCCCCTTGCATAGAAAGATAAGATTTGGACAAGAATCATAGAAATAGAATAAGTTTGATTAAAAGAAGAGAATATTAGTTTATTTTGCTTTTCTTTCTTTTTTTTTATGAAAATGTGTTCAGTCTTTTCATTCGCCTATAAAATCACATTATATATTGTCCTATATTATGAATTATAATTTATCATACCATCCCAAAGTTTTAACAGATTATCAAAAATAAAAGGCGCACCTCAAAATGTCACGTAATGCACTTGTGTTGCATGTTTAATTTGCACATAAATTCTCTTAAAACAAATATCATTGTCCCGTCTGTACATTACCTGTGGTTTTTCAATCCTTGAAAACACAAGTAATTCCAAAAACTATTACATAATTTAACTTTGCTTCATGTCTGGTTAACAAAATTCACTCAGTAAAAGACAAGAGAAATGACTCATAAACGTAGTTATCTACCTTTATCCTATATATCCACTGTTCCTGGGAAATAAAACTGCATATATGAGAGACCTTCGCATCATACAAGAATTTTGTTAAATCGGTTTTAAATTTGTATGCACCGCTGTCTGGCCACTTAGCCGATCGATAAATAAACATGCATATCTTGACACAACCAATCTCCTTTTGACTCGTCAATGAAAAGAAAAACCTGTTGCAAAATTATGCAGTCATATCCATAATAAGATTTATTCAGTACATTGTATTAAAGGAGGATTTTTTTTAAATCAATAAATTTCTTACATCCTTACTCAGGTTGAAAATGCAAATCTTTTAATATAAAGAAGCAGAAAGTAGATGAAAAAGATGCTGACAGCTTGAAAATTGTCCTTTTAGACATGTTATACTGAAGCAAATGCAAGAGAAAAAGGAATTATTCAATCCTTTCTTAGACATTAAAATATAGAGTCTCAAGTATGTCACTAAATGCTTTGTCAACAGCTTTATTAATCATAAACTGTTAAGAAATACCTTAGGAATCAGGTCCAGTTATGTTTTAGCAGAGAGTCAATTCAATCGCATCCTTTCTCTCAAGGAACAAAGAGATTGGCAGCTAAGTACTCACACCGGTATTTGTTTTGAGAAATTAATACATGAATTAAATGTGCTTTATTTGAATTTCTTATCTCTCGTTTAAACTCAATAATTTGAACAGGGTTAATGCTATTATCTTTTTTATACTCTTGCAGAAAAACATCACACTTAGCAGCACTTAAAACATATTAAATGAGACCATTAAATTTTATAGGTGCCTTTTACAACTATTGACTTCCAACTTCTTTATATGACCCTGTTTAAGCAACACCTTAACGACGGTGTTTCTTATGTTTGTATAGTCTGTCTTACCCAGTTTGTATCTACATAAATACTTGTCACCATTGCTAATCAAGTCAACCTTCCCATCCAAATATATCAGCCATACAATCATTGATGATTGAGGGGCAATGGTTTTCTCTTCCAATTTCAAAGGGAATAGTGACCCTAGACTAGTCATTCATCAGTTAAATGATAACTTGACCTTGTGGGCATTGTCTGATGAACCCAACATCACCATGTTGTGCAAGATATTATCAGGCTATGGTCTACTTCAATTATAACTATCATAAATGAATGCCTCTTCCTTCATATCTAATAGACATGATTCGAGGCATTGACATACATTGGATTAGCTGGCCTCTGTTATGCATGTGCACTGCCAAAACTAGGAGATATTTTTGAAGTGATGTCTGCAACCCAAGCATCTTTATTCTTGTCAACTTTATAGAACTTGACTTGTCTGCACTATGAAGATCCTTGCTTTGCTATTGGCAAGTTTTAATGGATATAATTATGTTGGAATTTTACATGAAACTGAGAATGAAAATTATTATTTATTGATAAAAGTATTGATTTTTTTTCTGTTATCTGGAAAAATAGAATTTAAGCATCTCATTTTATTACTTTCTTTAATTTATATTACTTCCATTGAAGTCATAAATTTTTCCATTAAGCTCAGACAAAAAATAGATGGTCATTTTACATGAAACTGGTATTTCCCAGTAGTTTATTTCCTAGTAATTTTTTTGCTCAATACTATTTACTCTTTTTCCCAAACAAATTATTACAAATGTTTGTCTATTGTTCCTAACCAAAGATAACATGTACTTTAAGGTACATGTACTTCGTAAAATATAGTGATGCTGACATTCATGTATTTATCCAACATGTTTTAATCAGCACCTGCTTACCCTCATTATATTGTACTTTTAACTTGAGACATACTCAGACATCTATATTTATTCATCTTATTTCAATTTATTTTTAATGTTGTATCTGCATTAAGCAAGTGACATCTTGAAGGTGATTTAAAATAATGTGTGCACCTTTTTTCAAGCATAATAACCTTCATTTTTTTAATTAAAAAATAATTTGTGCATCTTTTCGTTCAAGCATAACCTTAATTTCTTACATTGATGTTGCATGGTATAAAGATTCAGTATGAATAATATATAAACCTGTACACATTTTTTCAAAGATTTTTACTGTACAGGTTTAGATAAATTTTGGGTCATGAAAGAAGCCTTAAGAAATTTTAAATAAGTTTGTTTATTTTTGTTATTCCTAGATAGTGTTAATTGAAAAATGTTAATTTATTGCCATTATGAAGGGATAGCAAGACCAATATACGTTACAAGGAACAATCAAGGAAGAACTTATTTAATTATATCATCTCAGAACAAAACACCCGGTCTCAATCATATAAATGTCCCAACATACATAAACTGAGGGTTGTGCATATATTTAGTGAACAATCTTATAACATTACACTAATGGTTTCTTCCCCTCAAGTCACTAATGACAACAATAAATATTTACACAGGAACTGCCATAAAATGACAAATCTGTTTATATATTTATATGTGTCTTTGTACTTGAAATACAAAATTTTCTGTGAATATCATTGACAATTTATATGGAAGGTTCGGGAGATCTGATCCCCCTTTTTCTAAACCACATAAGCAGCAGACAATATTACTGAAACTTCCCTCCCGTTTAAAAAAGTTTAACCTTTATTCAATAATTTTGTTCTGTATATCCTTCATGTGATGTCATAATTTAAACATAAACTGAAAGTACCCAGGCCCATTTCTTTGGTGACCCAAGACAGTGAACAGATCAACTTCTTTGAAGATTGTGTATTGGTAAAGTGACACTATGGGAATTGATTTCACCTTTTCCAGACAAAATCTCCCAACATATTATTGTTTATCAGTAAACAAAATATGTCTGAAATATAATGACAGACAAAATATTCTGATACAATAAGGCATATTTAAGAGAGATCAAATCCATGGTTGTATTAAACATGACAATCTTAATTAACACTTAATTAGGAAAAATAATCAACCAATATCACAATAACTACTGCACTTTAAACATAATAGTACAAGCACAATGTTACACATTAGTATTTATAAAACATGTATTTATGGAGAATAAAATACAAGGAAATCATAAAGTCTGATTTATACTGAGCTAAAATAAACTTCTCGGTAAGGAGTTTGCAGGAAAATTTCTTAATTCCTAAGGTTTAAAAAAAAACAAGTAATGGATTGCTAGTAGTGACTGCCTTATGAATCCAACAGTAAACCAAACACATGCCCTTAGCTGTATTACATATATGACAGTGTTCACTTTACCTGACAGAAATTTATACCCAAGGTGTTAACTTGAATATAAAGAAGACATCTTGTCAATACACCCATCATACATGAAAATTGTTCAGGATACTTTTCCTCAGAATCAATTCCTTGACTCACAATAATAGCCTTTAACAACATATCAATAAATTAAAATTTTTATAAAAATAAGGAGATGTGGTATGATTGCCAATGAGACATGATTGCCAATGAGACAACTATTCACCAAAGTTCAAATGAAGTGGATGTAAGCAAAAATAGGCAACCATGCGGCCTTCAACAATGAGAAAAACCCATACTGTATAGTCGGCTATACTTATTTAATTTAAAAATAAGAAGATGTGGTATGATTGCAAATGAGACAACTCTCCACAAGAGACCAAATGACACAGAAATTAACAACTATAGGTCACTACGGCCTTCAACAATGAACAAATCCCACACCGCAAGACCCTTTATATTATTGTAACCATAATTTTGACCTTGTAAACAACAACTGACAAGAGGGCCTCGGTGGCCGAGTGGTCTAAGTAGTTACTACTGTAATCACTAGCCAGTCAACACTGAGGTTGTGAGTTCAAACCCTGCTCGTGCGGGTGCTCTCGACTCCAATCTTAATTGACTAGGATTGTCAGTTTTCCTATCGAAGGTCGGTGGTTTTCTCCGGGCACTCCGGCTTCCTCCACCAATAAAAACTGGCCGCCATGAAATAGCTTAAAAGCGGTGCTTAAAAGTGGCGTTGAAACACCAAAAATCAAAAATCAACAACTGACAATACAAGTGATTTCTTTTTTAATTATATCTTGTATGAGAGTTTTCAGATATTGTATATAGGAGAAATGTTAAAACCCTGTGCATGTCAGAGAAAACCCTAATGTTTCCCTCTGTAACCATCAATCACAACCGTCACTGATATTCCACAAAGCATACACATTAAATGCTTCACAAAATAACCAAAACACATAGAAAGACATCTCTTGTACTTTAAAAAAAATAATTTCTCTTTACTGACCTTCTGAAGTGACCATCTTCTATGTATCCTATAATCTAAAGAAAACAAGAAGAAATTCTCAGGTAAATTTCTCACTGTCCAGCTGCCAGCCATTACAAGATGTTTCAGTTCAACAACCTAGTCACCGTCCCATATAACATTAAAAAATCCAATTTACCCATAAGCATATTAATCCGGTCACTGTCCATGTCAGCTGCACAAATCCTGTAATCTGTGCGGACACTTGAGAGAAGGTCAATGGGTTCATAGGACAATGGTCAATGAGATAAAGTCTCCTACCTTTAAATTACCTGAAGATTTTTGACTGGACATGGCTTTTGTTGGGACTTAAAAAAAAGATAACTGCAGCTGATAGTGTTTTAATCAATCTATCTTCTCCTCAACAGATGGCAGTTATCAGTGGTGGTAAAAATTATAAACTTTTATAGTTATATCAAACATACATTTATTAATCATATTATTTATAGAAGACTTTTAATGGGAAATTCAAACTTTTCAAGCACGGTTCCCCCAAGTGATCTTTGAAAATACTTTTAAATGGATATGTTTTTGTAAATTAATCTGACGTGAATATAAAGCTGAGTGCAGAAAGAAGCATTTAAGATTAACTGTAGTTATGTGCATGGTCAGGGAAAAATGGACATGGTGTTGATGTGCTTGATATAGCATTAAATATACTGACTTTTGATAAAATTAAGTATACTGAAAATCTATCATATATCAAAAGAAGGCCTCTTTGATTCACCATTTCCTTATTTTCTGGTTTTTTCCTGTTTGTTAACTCAAATTCAACCAAAAGCATAACTCAAATGATAATAATTATTTTTCAATTACATTTGAGAAATTTCTGCAAATACTGTAAAGACATATTGTACTTACAATATCAGGATATAGACGGACATATAAAAACTAAAATCCATGGAAAAAATAACTACATCATACACATCTTCCTTGTAGATTATTATCCTATTAAAATTTACCTTGAATTTCACCTGTGACAATATATCAACATCCTGTCATTGTTAACATCCATTTCTTAAAACGCAACAACACACTAAATCCTGTATCTATCGGGAAATTTCTTCTATTGGAAAATCCCTCAGAAACAAAATGGCTTCCGTAACAGATATAGATTCATTAAGATTTAAAAAAAAAAGTATGACCCTGAAATTTACATTTTTATCCCGCTCATCTCACTATACACCACTCCCTGTATTGACAAGGTAAATATCAAGCGACTAAATAAACACTATATTTCACCCCTTATCTCCAGTTTATATTTCCTGTAAGATCTAACCCACTGCATTTAACCATAAAATGGAAATGTGTCTGTCCTATTTCAGGTAAAAAAAAATTTGACTACCTGAGCAAAATAAGTGTCTATTAATAGAAATCAAAAGGCAAAACCAAAATGTTTAGCATCTGAGGTCATTTAAGGTTAAACAGAATCCATTGACCTACTTTAAACACATCTATTTACTATTAATCAATTATCATAAATAATAAATTGACCCATAATTGCAATTTACTTGCTATATACTACAGAAAAGATTTAGTTTCAATTAAACAGAAAAAGGTAATAAAAACATCTTTCTTTGAAAAAAACTAATCGTTTAATATGTAGTAATGTTTTTATATTCCTATTTATGTAGCATGGTCTTTATTGGATGAAGTGTATATCACGATGAAATGAGAATATATTTTCATGCTTGATGCCCTGCTTTAAATACCTATTTAATATAAGTCAATTATCCATTTCAAACAGGGTAACCTTGTCAACTTTCTTAATGCTTAAAAACACTTGAACATGATTGTGAAGAGTGGGGTAGCATAAAACATGTAATCCATTAATTGACCCTGAATATAGTCCTATCCCTGGATGATATCACCAGTCACCATCTTTTACCTTGAGATTTATTGTGACTCATTTCTATGATAAAAAGTACTTGTCACCTCAATGACAACTTTAAAGTTACACCATAAACTGCAGATTAAAGAAAAACTATGGAAATTTTCAGAATTATACACCTGTAAAACTAGTTAATTGAATGTAAAAATATCACATGAATTTACCCTACAAATCTAATTTTTTTTCAATTTCAATGTCATTTGCTGCAAGTATATTAGTATAAAAATGGTAGTGCAAGTTAAATTAAATTACTAATGAAACATCCCCTCATGGCTGGCTAGAATAATACATGTACCCTCTTTCCATACATACATACTACTTTGCAAGAACAGCAAAAACTCCTATATAACCCCCATCCCCCACACACTTTGTGAGGGGTATTACTACCTTGAAACTAAGTACTTGCTTGCTCATGCATAATTCATCAAAATAAAGTGAAACATGCATTTGTTACGCATATAACCTTTCACATCAGAGACCTGAAACTCATGACATTTGTGTAGGTCAATCGTTATAACATTATGATTTTCAGGTAAATCCAAAGTTAAAGAGATCCTTTTACTTCAACAAAGATTATATTTCAACAATGCAGAAACTAAATATTTGTGTAAGGAACAAAGAGCTATGATATGCAGAAAAAAAACCCAATTTGACAAGGAAACTTGCTTGAATACTTCATAGTACGAAAACTCATATGGTCTCACAATGATGAATATGGCAAGGAAACTAAACCTATAAACAGATGCTTCAATAGTCCACAAACTCATAAAATTTTCAAAGTCTCAGAGTGATGACCTTCAGGAAAAGTTCAGCTGGTAAGGAAACTAAACCTTACAAACCTATTTACAGATGCTTCAATAGTCCACAAACTCATAAAATGTGTTTTGTCTCAGAATAATGAACTTCAAGAAAGGCCAAGTTGGCAAGTAAACTAAATCTATTTACAGTTAAATCCATCAATAGTTCACGAACTCATATATTTCCATGTTCTTAGTCCAGACCTTGATGAAAAGTTTAGTTGTAAAGGAAACTAAACTTACACAAAGATGCTGAAAAAAATTGCAATCCACACAATCCTATAGAAAACTCTATAATAAAAAAAATCTTATTCAACGTCAGATTTAACCTAACATCTAAATATTTCATTTGAGAAAAAAAAAACTAAGTTGATATTTGTGTAACCATGATTCATACAATAAACTTTTTCTACATCAGGTGACTGTGTTTTTTTTTTTTAATAAATAGACAAGCTGTTGATAAAGGAATTTTGATATTATTGATAGTTAATATACCAGCTCATTAAACAAGGAAAGATGGTGAATAAAATCTACAATTGGTCAATAATTCTCTTTTAAAGTATATTTCAATATAAGGTCCCTTGTTGCAGTGTTAACATATGTTTTATTCATCAACATTACAAATGCCTTACCAAGAGAAGTATGCAAATCTTAATATAGCAAGGGAGATCACATTATATCCCCATTAAATTTTTTACTGAATTTACTGGATACAAGTTTTAGCAAAATGTCAGCCTATTATAGCTGTTATTACCTTGACCTGTAACTTATTTAATCACTGTCTGAAGAAGCATTTATAATCCATGAAAGTTTGGTAAAAAAAAGTGATTTCAGGCTCAAAAGATATTTCCTGAGATGTACAATTACAATGCATTATCAAAAATTGCCCAGATTTCAGTATATAACTGCTGCTATGTCTTCAAATCCTATCAAAAGGAGCCTTTTTCAGGCAAAGACAATTATCCACAAAAGGTTGTTAAAGATCAGACTTATGGCTTAGATGAAATTCTCTGGAAAAAAAACTTTTCCCAAAAAGTTCAGTCCATTTTATAGTCACTGTGATCATGAACTTTAATCTGTTCTTTTCAAAGGCAATTGTAATCTGTTCTTTCCAAAGGCAATTGTAATCTGTTCTTTCCAAGGGCAATTGTAATCTGTTCTTTTTCCAAGGGCAATTTTATTCTGTTCTTTCCAAGGGTAATCTTAATCTGTTATTTTCAAAGGCAATTTTAATCTGTTATTTTCAAAGGCAATTTTAATCTGTTATTTTCAAAGGCAATTTTAATCTGTTCTTTTCAAGGGCAATTGTAATCTGCTCTTTTCAAGGGCAATCTTAATCTGTTATTTTCAAAGGCAATTTTAATCTATTCTTTTCAAGGGCAATTTTAATCTTCTTTCCAATGGCAATTTTAATTCGTTCTTTCAAAGGGCAATTGTAATCTGTTCTTTCAAAGGCAATCTTAATCTGTTCTTTCCAAGGGCAATTTGAAAGCTAAATTTGTTTAAGGCTGTACATATAGTTTAAAAGATATCATCTGCAAACAAAATTGCCCCCTAATTTCAGTCTGTTAATTGCTGTGTGTGATCTTGATCTTTGATCTTGTAACCCCAAACTTATCAAGGGACCTCTTTACTCCCATGGGATATATCAAACTAAGTTTGGGTAATATATTTTTAATGGTCAAGAAGATGTTATGTTGACAACATTTGAGTTCTGTTTACAATTACAAATGTCTTATTTAACACTGCCTAGTTGTTTTATACAAAGTGGTTTCACTTCTCTACTTTTTAGAAAATGCACATGGTACTATGCCTAAATCAATTTAATTTCACAGAAATATCAAATTTCATAGATGTATATTAAAAATACTTCTTATTAGAAGCTTATGTCCTATTTATGCAAACAGAAGAAATAATGAGAAACTAGAGTAAGGGTTTATGGCTATTACATTCAGTGCACCCACATTAATTCTATTATCAAGACCATATCTCCATAAAAAGTCTACTTCTCTATAATTTACTGAATATATTTTCTTTGTTAATATTTTCCTCGGTACTAAATTCCAATTTTCCTTCTCAGTAAAATCAAGGAAACTATTGTATATGTCTTGTAAAGATAGACATCAAATTTTTACTACAGTAATTCAATTTCACTAAAATCCTTTAAAAAACCTCCACATTTTGCATAATTTCATTGATCCAAGGTAAAATATTTTAATCCCCATGTTCCAATTTTGACCTATGATATTATTGTAATGATAGAATATTTCCACAGCAGTTTCCATATTTCCCCCCCATCTCTGAGTAAGCAATTGTTAACTACAATATAAAATGCAAATGTTTACCCAGATTAGCATTTTTTAAAGCCCAAGTTTATACCAAATGTCATTCAACTTTTTGGACAATGACCTTTTAAGAGTGAAAAGTATTTGCAAATTTAGTGGAATATTGTCTTTTGTTCAATAAGATATTAAAATCCTTCAATTTCAATACCTCAACAGACTTCAGAAATATGAAATTAAAAGAGTGGACACGCTGAGATGTCTTGCCTGAATATGCACCTTACCACCATTCCGTACACCAAGCATAAAAGACCTCTTGCTTAAAGTATCTGAGAAAAGGATGTAACCATAAAACTACTTTTTGACCGATGAACAATGAAGAGGAAATCAAGGTCTGATGAACCCTGCCACTGATCCATGAAATGAGGTCAAGGTCAGGTGAAATTTGACATATATAGTTTGCAATAGTTCTATATACCAAAAAAATATAGTTGTCCTATTACTCAAAATAACTGAACAAATCACTTAATAAAAAAAAATCTTGTTTTTTTTAAATAGTTGATGAACCATGAAAATGAGGTCAAGGACTGTGGCACAGACACTATGCCAGACGTCAGAACATATGGCCTCTATATACAAGATAAGAAGATTCAATGATATTACATTCTAAAATATACAATAAAGCTTTACTTATTTTTAGAGCCAACGCCCCTGCCTCCACCCTTGCAGGAAAAGTATTCGTAAGTTTCTGCAACAATAATTTGAGTTCATCACATGTGAGGCAGAAAATTGCAGATTCTATAATAAAAGTAAAGTCAATTTCAATTTTTTAGAAACCTTTCAATTTTTAACCATCTTGAAGATCTACATACATTTGTCAAGTTGTCAAATGCTTTAAACCTTTGCTTTCATATAAGACAAAAAATCTGTCCCATCAACGTCTAATTTGGCGGTTGGGAAGATCAAGCATGTACCAATTAGTTTTCCCCCTTTACTTTGGTACTAGTCAGTCTAGACAAGTATAACTGGTCCATGATTGATGGATTTTCACCTGAGGCTTACCTGTAACTACAGGTGTTAAATCTTTGATGAAGTAAATTAATAACCAACAGGTAAGGTGTTCTCATGTGATTATGAGAGACAGAGGAGATATATGGGAGCAAATATTTCTTACCATCATGGGAAAATAATGATTGGTTGTTTTTTTTCTTTTTCAGATGTATCAGTGTTAATGCCTGTAATTTAGAATTGTTTTCATTAATTATTGGTGGATCAAATGAGTTTTAAGTTATGTTGAGAGGTAGCATC